CCCTGGTAGTTTTACCCTGTCCTATATCTGTTCTATAGAACCTTCCATTGTGCATTGTAATTCCTGGTAGCTCATGTATTAATCTGCCCTGCTCAGTGATGAGATTCTCACAGTGCTCACCATTCATATTTATACTTTTAATCCATATTCCCCAGCACAGTGCCGGGCAGACTAGTTGTTTAACAAATATGTGCTGTTTTATGCTATGGCCAGAGTGATCTAGTTTATAGGAGTAAATTAGAAACTGTCACAAAACAAAAGCAGTCCCAGGTCATCTATGGTCAAGTGCTTGGCTGCTATAAGCCATTCTGCAGTGTCCAGGGTGGCTCCATATGTGTGTACGTGTGTTCTCTCTCCACACTCAGCTTATGGGCCTTCAAGGCAGAGGTTCAGCACTGCACATGTTGAAAGGGTCCCCACTGTATGGATCTTAAAACCACGTATGGACCTTTGTTCCTGGAAACAGGTGAGGCAGGTATGATGAACACAGCTTCTCGCCAAGACCAGGCAAGGACTTTCTGGGCCACCAGCCAAACAGACATGAACCACCATCTCAGTTCACCACACTAATAAGTATGTCTCTCAGATAAGCAAAAAGAGAGCTTGCACCCATTAAAAACAGAGATGTCAGAGTAGAAAATAACAATAAAAAAGATGAGGAAATCTGTCAGTAAAAAGAAATTGTTATCCCAGAAGGAGGAGCCATGATTTATAAGTACTGAGCATTCTGGACATGGGCTTGCTTCTAGGGATTTGGCAGTCAGTTGGGGGGATTTCTTCAGTCAGTTTCTGAAAAAGGTAAAAGGAATTCCACAGTGATGCTTCTAAATTCTTGGACAATCACTCAGCAGAGCTAACAAGTTGGAGAGTTGTCAACATGGTGCCCCATACATTCTCACACTACAAGTATACTCACACCCTCCAGCTGGCTTGGGGCCTTCCCTGCACCCAAAGTCAGTGTGAGAGTTCTGACACCACTTGTCAGCTATCATTTGTGGACTAGACTTCAACTGGCAGGCTGTGGAAGCTATATGATAAATTACATTCGGGTCCTCTGATACCAGGCTTGGCCAGTGCTCTTTAAAGAACAAAACAGCAGGTCATCAGCAAAAACAATCATTAGCAAAAAGGACCCACTCACTGCCCAGAAAAAAGGTGAGAGAGGATAGAAAGGTTGCTTCTTGGAATGAATAACAATTGCTGACTTCACACCTTCTAAATATCTATTCTCCATTTTTAAAGTTTGTTTGGGATTCCCTGGTAGTCATCTGGTGGGAATGAAGTGTTTTACAGTTTCTCTGAAACAGCAAGTCTAGGAAAGTTTCCAGTCTAGGAAAGTTTCCAGAGGGGCACTGACAGATGTTTCTTGCTGATATGTGCAGTGACTTTCCAGGCACAGAGTTGGCTGAGATGCTAAGCTCAGCTCTGGAATAGGAGCCCGTCCTGACAGTTATGGGATCTCCAAGGTCTGGCCCCCTCATGCATGACCCCATTTAACCAGACCAGCTCGTCCCCTCCATCTACTTCTGTTTCTCTAGTATATTCTGACATCAGCCGTCAGATTTGCCTTAATTAAATATCAAGGAACCTCCACCCCCATAGCAGAATTCATTTCTTCCTGCAGCTTTACATTACGATAATCCCATTCTTGCTGCCTAGTAGTGATCTCTCTTCCCGGTTACATGCCAAGATTATCAAAACTAGGTCCAGAAAATGTTGTGTTCCCCTCCCCCTGCATTTCTCTGAGGCAAATGCTTGGAAAGAGCTCCCGCTATCCTGTATTTGCCACAGGCAACGTGTCTCTGTGCTTCTGCCAGGTAACAAGAGCAGACGGATCTACATATCTAAGTGTGCTAAGCCAGTTGGAGTGTTACAGGGCACCCCAATGTGAACTGGGTTGCCTGTCTGTGGGTCCTCCCCTGCGTGCTTAAAATTCAATTGTACTGCAGGCACACACAAAAAGGGCCAATAATGGGTTTATTTACAAAGGGGAAAGGAAAAGGTACAAGTCAGGGAAAGAGAGAGATACAAGTTAACTAGAGCATCCTACCAGCTCCACTGACTTGGTACTCCAATAACACACTGAAAGCTCATCAAGAGCCTAACAACCAGTCGCCAGCCACGCGGTCCAGAGAGAGACAGTGTCTAATATGGCTCCCTTTATATCCCCCAAAGTCCCAGAATGCCTGCTTAGCTCTGACCTTGGGTCCTCGCAGTTCTCTCCTTGGTATTGCTGGGAGTTGTAGTTTCAATAACTGGAGTAGGGGGTGGAGTCCACAAAACTGGAGTCCACAAAACTCTGCAGAGTTCCTTCAGGACATCCTTTCCCCCTAACAGGAGGACCAAAGCTTTCCGATGCATTTGTTCAACGTCCACGTTACAGAGGAGAAACAGACTTGGAGAGCCGAGTTCAGTAAATGGGCAAATGGGCACTAAACAGCAGCAGACTTTTTCTATGCAGGTATTTCTCTGGAAAATATGCAGGTATTTCTCTTTCCACCCATATACTTTCCCTTCAGAAACCGGGACCCTTCTAAGGATTTGATGCATTTGGCAGAACTGCAATTTCTGTGAAACACCCTGAGAACTAGTTGCCTCCCCAGCTGGAGTTGCCAAGAATGGAAGATCTTCGGGTGTAGCACCCCAAGTTGTTTCTCTGTGGGCTTCTTGAGGAAACTTCAGCTGCTGGACCACAAAACCATGGAGGAGTTGTCCTGGCTTAAGAGGACTTTAAAGCAGCTCTAACTGTAAAGGAATAAACCTTTAGTGGTATCTTGGTCTTGGGCTATAACTTCCAGCACAGACACCCAGCAGGGGAGGTGCTGAGAAGCAGCCAGCCAGCCCCAAGAGCTAAGGAGAAGTGTTCAGTGTTTCCTCTGGTTACCCCCAAACTCTGGGAATCCTTCCAGCTCACTGGCACAGGGTAAAGAGCTGCTGCTGTTCACTGCCAAGCTCATGCAGCCCTTCTATAGGCCCCCTGGGGAGAGACCCAGTGAGTACAAGCGCTCTAACCCCCCAGCACCCCCAGGCTCCCCATGGGGGTGTGATTCCTGGGTGATCATTTCAGCAAGTACCATCTACAACTTGAATTTTTCTTCTGTTGGTGGGCCCTTAAACCTTAGCCTAAAGGCCTGGCAGCCTCCTATATCAGTCATTTAGTGAGGGGCCTAAATGAGCCCCCTCTACTTCCATTCCGAATGCTGGAGTTTGGTGAAGCCCCTCTACTTGGCCTCCCTGGCTTCACATAGCCCAAGTATCACCTACTCTCCGGCCCTCCCTTCTCCTCTGCCCTAAGGATGAGTTTCATAGTCAGCAGGGCTTCTGTCCTTGCCCAGAGGGGGCTGCTGTGGGGAGCCAAACTTCAGACAAGGGGTGAGTGTGGTTCAGGGTTTGACAGAGGCTACAAAAAGAACTGCTGGAGATTCCAGTCCAATCTGCATTTAGGGCTATTCATAGCTTGGGCAGTTTTCTATTGTAAATCATGCGAATGATTTACAATAGTTCCTAGGTAAATCATGCAAATCTGCTGCAAGAGGAGTACTTGCCACACACAGGCTTGGAAGTGGATGTTGGGGATGAGTGAAGTACTGTTTGTGCAGTGTGCGATCCAGGAGTCCTTGAATGTGTTGTACTTAGGTATGACACAGCTTCAGAGGCCGTTTCGAGCAAGAATCTCAGTGCCCTCTCTGAAAGTCCTGTACTTGCAAATGCTCACAAGAACTGCCCAAGGTGAAGCGGGAGGAAGAGGCTCCAAATTCCTTCTTGTACCCTCAACCTGAGCTGCTGGCTGGGCCCCGGCAGCAGCCATCAATAGCTGGGAGCATGCTCCTTCCTTCCCTCAAGACCTTCTGCCCACCTCGCAGGGGGAATTGAGAAGGCCAATTTAATTTAATTGATTACCACTTACAAAGCTGTGGTTACTCCTCTGAGAGGCCTATTTAAAGTTTCTGAGCTACACAGAGATAACAAAATAAAAAGCAACTGTGTAAAGCGAAGGATGATTATCAAATTGCTCTGGGAACCTTCCATGTGAAAAAGATATAAAGGAAAGATTGAAAGGTATTAGTCTATAAGTCTCATTGAGGTTAGGAGACTAGAGCAAACCTTCTTTTGAAAGAGACTTTAGAAAGAACTTTAGAAAACACTTCACACACTGCAGTCCCTTCTCAGATAAATGTGAGTTTCTGTCTTAGGCTGCATTAACATTGTTAACCTATTTTAAATTCCTATGGCACAGCAAGAGTCTTACATACTTAGAAGATTTTTTTTAAATGCATGAGCTTTAAACTCGTTTTCTTACTTTAAATAGATGTATATTAACTCCCCGTTTAGGCTGCAGGACCTCCTAGCTTAGTGTAACAGTCCAACAAAATAAGAGTGGATACAAACTCTGTAATTTACTCACAGGCATAAATGGGTATATAAATGTAAAAATGCGCACAATATTTTATGCCACGCTTGGCTTCATTGTGACCTAATGTTTATAATATGTAAATAATGGCTTCCTTTTAAAGCAAAGAACTTTTAATATACAGATTCATCTGAAGTCCTTTTCCTTTCCTATAAACAGAAATAAAAAGCAAAATATTCTTTTCTAACAAATAAATACCCAATGACATAGGTTACCATTGAAGGGATTTAAAATGACAGAAGTCAACAGAAAACTTTCAGTATCATACTTCTACTTTAATATGAAGATATTGTTATCAAAGGAAAAGACTCAAGAAATTCTTTGATAAAAATAATCTCATACTATCTTTGAAGCAGTTTCATTTATTTTACTACCCACTGTGTTTCTTATCAGAAGGCCAAGGGTAAGAAGTTTCCTAGTTATGATTAGGAAAGAATCTGATAGATCAGAAGACCCAATTGAAGTTGGACATAATAAGTATTAAAGTATTACATGACATTAATCCTGCCATTCCATTACTCTCTCCATCTTTGTGCACAGACTAATTATTCTGAAGCCAGTGTTCAGTAGAAAATAGAAACATACTTACCCTGGGCTGGAGTAATCTCTTTATTGCATCAACAAGGCTGGCTCTGTACTGGTCCAGAAACAGGCTGACATTGAGAAGAGAACAGAATCCAGATTAAACTGGGCTTTCAAGTCTAATGCTTCCAGTAGAGAGAAGTCCAAGGCTAATTACACATGTTTACTCAACACTAAAGAAGAGACATTGTCGCCTTCCCATTCAAGTGTCTCATTGCGGGGGTGGGGGGAAGATATTGTGGTCAGTGTCACACAACCAGAGCCAGGTCATCTGCACACGAAGGGCCAGGATCACACATGACTGGGCCATATTGATGGTAAAGGGGCAGTTGCCGAGCTGCTGTTTGGTGGCGTCATCTGGCTGAGATGTAAAGTCCAGCCCTTAAAGCCTCTTCTACGCACATGGGCCCTCTGTCAGGCGGTGTCAGGCCACCCTTCAAAGACAAGCCACCAGCCCTGTTACACCCCAGCCACAGCAGTGTAACAGGAGCAGCACTGAGATCAGCTTCAGCCAGTGACCAGGAGAAAAGAGCTCCAAAAGCAAAGACCAGATTAAGGTCGCAAGTCTCTGAGACCATGGCCACTCTAGATTCCCTCCCTTCACCTCCATGGTGATCTTTTCCCAGTTCACTGTGACTTTTCATTTTCCTCCTCTGTTTTTGAGAACTTCTATTGCTGCTCAGTCACCCTATCGTTGGGTCAGTCTGACCCTGTCTTCACTAGGCCTTGATGACTCTTGGAAACCTGACAGAGATTCCTTATCTGGGGTTTGCAGTCGAGAACAGTGGGCAGCCTGTGCAATAGCTTCATGCATTTCAAAAGGGGCTCAGTGTAGCCCCTCACCCCCATTCCTAGTGCTTCCTTTTGGTGGGAGCCCCTTTGACTCGGCACAGGTGCTCTGAGCACAGCGCGAGGACCACGGACTCCAGGTCCCTTCCTCGCTGCCTTCTCTGAGCTAAGTAAGGACGACTATCGGTTGTCAGGGCTGCTGCGGGGAGTGTTAAATAGATCTAGCTCTGACTTTTCTGCTATGTGATCTTGACCTTGGGCATATCACTTCACATTAGGCCTTGGTTTCCTTGTCAAAAAACGCCCACCGATGTGGCTGTGATGACATCAAATTAAGAGTATGTCAGTTAAACAAATACATATTGATAAATACTAGGGCTATTTGTGGCACTGGAGATAAACTATGAAAAAACCAAAGCTTTCATCCTTCACAACCTTCCATTCTCTTTTCATTTATGTCTCAAGCATTCTAGCATGGCACACACACATAAAAGTTACTCAAGAAATATTTACTTATGGCCTAATTGGCTGATTAACACAGTCCCTGAAACTAAGCAGCTCATGGCTCATGTAGGATGTTAGTTCCAAGGACCCTAAAGTCAGTTGTCCATATTCCTTTTCTAGGATTGTTAAGGAGGAATAAACATTGGTGGTGGTGGTGTCTCACCAGACTAGGTTATTTATTTTTTTTTAAGATTTATTTATTTATGCATACAGAACTAGGGTACAGGCCAGAGGTGTGTGTGAGAGAAGATTCACCAGAGACAGGGTGGGGAGCAGAACAGGCAGATCCACCGAAATATACTGCTGAGGGAAGCAGCAGGCAGGTCAGGAGAGGTCTGCTGTGCCAGGGCGGGTCACCTCTCTGGCAGGAATTGAACTTGTGCTGCGGTGGTCTGGGAGAGCTTCAGTGATGTGCATTAGCCTGTTGTGCCACCAGGGAGATCCCAGACTAGGTTCTTTTTCAATGTTCTCATTTGAGGAAAATGAGCAGTTGATAAGAAGTTTCCAAGAAGTCAGTGTTTGGGTTTTACTATGATATGTTTAGCAGAAGGTTCTAGAAAAGGAATACTCTGAGCAATGGAAAAAGAAACCTCTTAAGATGAACTACAAATAAAATTTAGGTATCCAAGTCTATCCATCCACGAGGAAAACCAGATTACTACCCATGGGAAAAATTTCTTGTCATCCCATGAAACCACACATTTCAATCTTAGAGCATAGGGTATTCCTAATTCATATACTACAAAAATCTATCTTTGGGCGATAACCAGTGATTAATAGTCATTAAGGATTGATAAGAAAGGAATCAAATTATATCTACAAGTTTTAAAAGGTTTCTGTTTTGGACTATATACTTTATTCTTTAGTCATGTTAATAATATCTCCAGTTTTAATAATCTAGTAGCTTTTCTTTTCTTTTTTTTTTTTTACTATAACTTGGGAATATATATATATTAGTCACTGGAGCCTATTCTGATAGACCTCACTCGCTGGGACAGGCAAAAAAACCAATCTCAGTTTATTCTAAGAGTGCATCCTAAGAGCTGGTAAGGTTGTTAGAAATAAACAAACATCACTTTAAAAGCTAAGCTTAAAACATAACCTTATAAAGCACTTTTTCTATTTAATGTTGGTAATGGTCACAAAGACATTAATATCATTTCATTTGAAAATGCAGCTTAACACAGAACACACATTCCAAACACAGTTATTTAAAAGGTGATGTTGTCCATTCCATCACTACAAATCAAATTTCCCAAAAGTAATTCTTGTAGTTCTCTAATAGGTTTTTATTCCAAGCAAGCTCACCTTTCTACTTAGCTCTGATGCAGAATTATAACGCTTTGTAGGATACGTCATATGAGCAATTTCAATGTGCTTTAGCAGGAATGATATATAATCTCCTGAAAATTTACCCCTTAAATAAGTCCTAATGGGCTCAGAGAACAGCAGTAGCTTAAGTGGATCTATTAAAAAAGGCTGAGTGGGTCAGTGATTGGGATGTAGATACCATTTCAGTTCTCCCTTCTGTTACTGAGCAAAATACACTGCTGGTCAGTTTAGTTTGGTCAATAGAACACACCACACACACACACACACACACACACACACACACACCCTCCCTCACGCCTTTTATAATTCATTTGTGGAATTAACACTTTGTTTTGTTCCCCTGTTCTGAGTTATAGATTTGCTTTCCTTAGATTTTTGAGCATGTGTAACTCCTCTTATTGGGAAATTAACTGGCACAGAGAACATGGAGGCATTTCTCCATCTATCCACAGGAAGAGCTCAATGTGATTTCCAGGTGATGTGTGCTAAGGCACACTCACTGTCCCCCCCACCCCCAATGGTTTTGATGAGTTTTCAGCAGAGGAATGGCATCTCTAGGTATTTATCAACAGATTGTTCTGGGAGCTGGGTGGGTATACTGTGCTCTCACGCACTCTGCTCCTTGGATGGTAAGATCTTGGGTGATTTGTATCTTCTTAGGAATTGAGTTTCCTCAGGTGTGAGGTGAAAGGGTTTACAATATTTGAGTTAAAGATCTTTTCTGTAAAGGTCTGTGAGTTGTGATTTAGGGCTAGCCATGAGTACATCATCTGGAAGAAAACCAAGTCTAGGCCATTATCTTGAAAAAAAAAAATCTTAAAAACCAATTTTCCCCATCATATAAAGTAAAAATGCTAGGAAATAGAAACTACCCACCATATATAGTGTAAAAATACTGAGGGGGGGGGCAGGTAGGCCGAGGTATGCAGCCCCCTCCTTTCCTTCAGGGTCTTGGGCTGCCGTGTGCCCGAATAGTGCCCACCTGCATACTTAGCTCCGTGAGTCAGGCAATGGGTGGCATTTCAGACTTGCTTTTCAAGCTTTTAGAGAATTCAAATATATGGGATCATATTTATTTTTGCAGACCTGCAATAAGCTGGAAAGCTATCAAACTCAGAATGGAAGTGTTCATTGGATCAGAACATCTTCCTTCCAGATTCAGACTATTGTGACTGCAGAGGAGTCTGGAAAGGCAGGCTTAAAGCTAACAATCACCCACTGTTCTAAACTCAGCAAGGACAGGGCTAGAATGCATTCCATGGGAATGGAACTCTCATAGTAGGTTCAACAGGAAACAAGTCAGCCAAGGAACTTAATAGGCAGGTTTTTAAACATTTTTCTATACCTGTGGTTAAATATTCTAATATTCTGATGTTTGTCAACAACACCCTTTTGCAGTTGTGATTACACCTCAATTTTTCCTTCTATTATTTCAAAGCTGACATTTTACAAGTTATTTAGGAATTGTTGAACCATGAAACTATATTTCATTGTCAAAAATGCTGAATGGTGAAATAATGACTAGCTTTTACAGTTTGCCTCTTTATTTTATAATCTAGTTGAGCTACTAAATTTAGATGTGAACTAAGAGACTGTCTCTTCTGGGAAATAAGTTATTCCCCCGTTGCCCACAGGTTCATGAATGTTTGAATGTAAATATGTGAATATATGAATGATTTAAGAACATAAACATATCACTGTTGTAATCATGTGCATCTTACTTGAACCACAATGTAGGTCTGGAATAGGTTTGTGAATAGAGCTTGTTTTCATGTAAATGGGATCAAGTAGTACCACTGCTTAGCTCTTCAGGGAATCAGACAAAGCCACCTTTGCTGGAAGCACTTCCGTAAGAACTTAATCCATGTACCTAATATTTGAACTCTGATTCTTGCTTCATATTCCTGTCAATATTCCAATGCAGAGCCCGTTGATGATGGCTGAAGGATGGTATGGGATTTAACGTGCTCTCTAGACTTCTGGCGCTGACTGTTTTAGGCTTCACCCTGGACGTAGTGTCCAAAGAAAGCTGTCCTTTCCTACTCTGTGACATTCTGGGGGAATAGAAGTGGGGGAACAGTCTGCCTGCCCCTAAGCAGCAAGCACGCATGCGCACCACACGTCCATAGAAAACCCCAGTGAGACATAGAGAACCCATGGAGTCCTGGCTTCATTGCTCCGGGCATAACACGCATATATTAGAAAATCACTGTCCTGTCTTAAGTTTCTAGGCAGCTTACCCATTTCTGTGAATATGAAGAGAGACCATTACCAAAGCATTTCTCTTGGAAATAATATCAGCATCGTGGTGAGAGTAGCTTAATGTTTCACATTTACAAATGGAAAATTATAAACAGGCTGACATTCTGGCACTTACAACACCAGGAGGAAAAAAACTTAACAACTCATGCATAGAAAAGCCATTTATAAAATGAAACTTGGTTTATTTCATTTATTTGAATCCATAAATGGATTCTCACAGAGCTACTGGCTGCTGTGCAGGTGGTGTGTGTGTGTGTGTGTGTGTGTGTGTGTGTGTACGTATAACCTTGTATTAGGTTATGTGTTTGTAATGAAATGCCTTAACTGACTATGCATTATCTATATCAGTTGTACCTGACCTTGTTGCTGACCAGGGAAAAAAGACCATTTTTCAAACGTGTTGGATGGCCATTTTCAACCTGAGAACATTAACCAGAAAAGAACTTAAATCTCACAACCTCTGCTGTCTCGCTGGTACAAATAGGATGACATTGTGCAAGTGCCTATAACACACGGTATGACAAAGCTAGGCTGTTTTGATATTGATATGAAGGGCAAATTTAACTTAAATCTCTTGGCCAACCCTGACTTTCCCACATAGTCAGAGTCCATTGGTGTGCGACCCCCATTTCAACCTCCAAGAAGATGCTGCCCTCCTTCCTCTTCCTGCTGCTCTCTGATCTGACTCCAGGCTTAATCTGATCTAATCCTGACAGCATTATTTTCATCTCTGCAATGAAACCTGGAGGACCCTTCTCAGGCTTGGTGGAGAAGGCATTTTAGATTACTTGCTCACATCACATGGTGAGGTTTTCACTCATTTTTCATTAGAGGTGGGGTATAACATTGAGGCACAATATCAATAATTAGGTAATGCTAACCAGAAATCTCTCCCTCCCTTTCTGGAACAAGGTTTTCAGAAGCTGGGTAGAAAGAGACTAAAAGGGCTGTGGACAAATAGAAAACCACAACTAAAAATAGAACAGAACCCCTCTGAGTGCTAAATGTTGTAGCTTAAAGATGACACACAGCTGATCCAAAAATAAATAAAAACTGAAAATAAAACATTTCTCTTTCATTGAGAAGTATTTTTCAGAAGAAAAAATAAAACAAATCTAACGCCAGTGATTTTGGTAGAAAAGTTACCTAGTGAAAATCTTATTAAAAGAATAATTAAAAAAAAAAGAATTTCTGAAATTTTTATTCCCTTCATTCAACTCTCCTCTAGGGCAAGTGTTGTCCAGGCTCTGGATCTTATGATGGGGTTTATCAATGTCATAGCAATTCTTCAGAGTCTGAACTTGTGTTTTAAAATCTAAAGTGTCATTTAAAAAATCAGGATAAGGCTACAAATAAAACCTGATTCCTAAAGGGGAAATACTAATGAATTGCCAAAATAGTTATTATTCAACATGCATATGATTTGTTGAAATAATTATAAAGGGTTGATATATATGTGTGTGTGTGTGTGTGTACACATATTTATCCTGTAACTTAGGATCTGACTTTCAGTAAAATAAGTAGAGTAGGCTAAATTAGAAGACAAAATATCTAATGTAAATCATTTTTAGAAAGCAGGCATCTGGCAGAGATGTTAATATTATTTGCATAACAATAAAATGTAATTTTATAATTCTCACTTTATGTATAATTATCATAACTGAATACATTGGAAATACTAGATAGCGAACATTCATTTTAAGAAAAGCTATTTCCCTAAAGATATTCCACAGATATATTTATTTGCTGTAAGTGTATATGTGTGTGCACACATACATATATTCCCTTATATCAATAGTCAGATCTCTCCTAAGAAGTAAGCTAATTGAGCTGTTTGTGTTGATAAACTCCTTTTTCTCCAGACTATTCCTCTCCGAGCCATAATTATTTGCAATTTGCCTAAGTCGTCCATTTACTGATACGTCAAGCATGAAACAGAGGCAATTCCAGAAAATGGAAATGCTTCTCAAAATCAATCTTTGGGAAATAATGTGGTAGAAGTTACTGTGTGATAGAAGACTACCTTATAACTGTCACATGGAGATGAATATTAATTTGTTGAGGTTAAGGTGGCTTTGTGCTTCATTTGTTGACTTTGCTTAGCCGTCAGCAAAGCAGCACAGCCCAATTACTTCAGCAAAGCTATTTTTTCTAACAGGAGTTTTATGATTTTTATGTACTTACCAGTCAGCACACATAACAATGTCAAAATGTCCTTCCAGTTGAGAGACATCTGTCTCATTATCCCATCGTAAAACGCTTGAGGAGAAAAAGATTTTAAAAATTATACTTAGGATTTTTTTTCAACTTTTGATTTTGAGCTATTAACATTATTTTTTGTGGCACTTGAAATTATTTAAAAGGTATATACAAATTATTTCAAAAGGTATAATAAAAAAATGAGGGATGTAACTGTCTCTTCTATATTTTATTTAGTCTTCAAATCTGGAAGAGGAAGATTTCTCTATTTAAATATAGTAGTTAAGCTTTTGCTAGTTTTTATAGGTTCCTGCAGAAAAACTAGGAAAAATAGCTTTACATTAGTCGTTAGAATGAGTTTAGACTCTTAACCTCAAAGAAGTACACATTGAAATCAAAGTGCCCCTCATCTGACTGGAACACAAATTCATAAAAATAAATTATTTGAAACAGTGTATTTCCATTTTGTCTGACATATCAGTTGCATTTCTTATTGATGAAGTGAGTAATTTGGTAAGATGGAAAAAAGGGATAGTCAGCTTTCATTGCTAATTCTTAATTTCCTAGCACATTTTATCTTTCTCCCATCCCAGCACTCCGTCTCCAAAAGAAGATGGTTTTAGATCCCATATCTGTAACAACAATTAATAACATACGCTTTACAATTCTCCTTGTCCTTATGAAGACATCAGAGATTTTAAATTACTTACAGTAACTGTGGAAATTAGCATTTTCCTTAGTAAGGGCTTTTAATGATTCTTCATTCCACCACCTCAAAACTGTGATTGGCAATGCTATTTTTCAAGGTAAAATTCTTCTATTTTTTTTAAACATTTATTTTTATTTACTTATGCATACAAGAATTGGGGTACAGGCAGAGGTGTGGGGATTAAGAGGATTCACCCGAGACAGAGTGGGAGCAGAACAGGTGGATCTATTGAAATACACTGCTGCGGGGAGCAGCAAGTGAGACAGGTGAGGTCTGCTGCGCCATGTAGGTCTCCTCCCTGGCTTGGGATCCAACTCATGTGCAGTGATTGGTGACAGCTTGATAGCACTGAGACTTTAGCCCCTGTGCCACTAGGGAGCACCTCCTTTCTATTTTAAAACTAAAGCGAGTGAGCACATTCTACCCTGTCCAGTTATGTTTGCTATTCTTGATGGCTTCTTTATTTCTTCTACACATTCCCTGGTTGGAAACAAAAATAAGTCTCACTTTGATAATCCAAAAATTCTCATGTACTTTAATATACATCAGTGGTAGTGAATTTCTTGAGAGAGCAAAGATGAAACACATAACCACAAAAATACCTATATAGACTGAAGACAGCATCTTTCGATGCATTCTTACTGGGAAGCTGCTGTGTGTCAGGCCCTTGCTGTGTCACAGACCACGTTTTCACAGGGGCCACCCAGGGGGCACATGAGCCCGTGATTCTGAAGGCGAGTCCTGCGTGTTGTGTAAGCACACCAACTTAGAACGCCAGGGAGCACTTTTCAGAAGAGGTGGGTGACCTCTGCATTCACTGGGTCTGACACATGGATAACCTTTATAAATTAGCTCTTGAGTTGTACTTGGCTGGCCCCTTCAGAGAGTCAAGAAATAGCAGAAACCAGAAACATCCCAAAAGATTAATGCATACTTTGCTTGTGAATTAATTCCTCAGAAACTGCATGCACCTGAGGATAACTGGAGAAAGTATTTGCAACCTTTCTGGAAAAGTTGAGGAGTCACGGCAGCTAAGACTGAAGCTTAGTGGAGGAAAGGCCTATTTTCACACCTATATCAGAGACTCAGAGAGTCTTCGAGAGTTTTATCATGAGCAAGATGGTTTAAAACACAGCTCGCCCTGTTCAACTCCTAAATGTATCCACCACACATACATTTCTGGGAAAAGCGGAAAGTATTCAAGTTACTTATAATCTTACCATTCCATGAACCATTGTTTAAAAGATGCTTCTAATACAAGCATAATTATGTTTTCAGTCATGAAAGCACAAGGATGGGAAGAGCAGGAGACCTTATTTGATGATATTGGGAGCCTGAGGTGCCTAGCCTCTTGGATAGGTCGTAGAGACCACAACATACTCTCCAAAGGTACTTTACTTGTGGCTATGGCTATGCTGGCCCCAGGCTGTAGGCACATGACAAGGAGAAAGGGGTGCATGTATGGGGTCCAGCTTTGGTTCAAATGTTGGGTTCAAATGTTAGTTCCCTCCCTTCCTAGCTGTGTGGAGTTGGGCACTTATTTAAGTTCTCTGATTTTGTTTACTCATTTGTAAGTGAGGATAATGATGGCCATGCTGAAATCACATTTACAGTGTTTTCTGGAGTTCTGTTATTGACACAGTGTATGAGTTGTGCAATCAGGTGGCCTTCCACTAGGAAAGCTTAGAGATAATGGTGGCTTCAATATTCAAGAAGCAGGTCCTTCCAACTCTTCTCCTGTCCACCACTTCCTTCTCAGGTGATTCACATGAAGGTTATGTACATTTAGGGCACTCTCCAGTTGCTGTTTATTTTCAACTTATTGCAGACCCACACTTTTGTAACATATAGTAACAAATTAATAGGTAATGACATTACAAGAAGCAAAGACATCCCAAATACAAGTCCACTAGCCATCTGCTTGGATAGCATCATGCTGATAAACATTACTTCCAATTTCTGAACTTCCCTCATTGCAGATCAGCAATATACATAGAGGTCACAGAATGATACCAGTCCATGGCCTACTTGTCAAAGCACCATGTTAGACCTGGCCTTTATGTATAATTGCCATCTGGATCCACTCTCTGACAGCCTCTCACTACTCACTTCTCTAGTGTGATTCTAAAGGTCACTCTAATTCCAACCACTTTTCAATACCCCTGACCTATGACCTGCTGACCATCTCATCATGCCACTGTTCCTTCCCCAAGTGTTTACCTTCCCTTCTTGCATAGCTTAGATCATGTAGTCAATCCACTGAAGTACTCCTTTGCACACACCTTCTACTGTCCCTCTCTTCTACTGCATATTTGTTAAAGCCAGCTCTCTGCCTGCTTCATGACTAGACATGTGCCCTTAAAGTGGCTGCAGAAGAGTGTACGTATCCCAACAGGCTTTGCTTTAACTTCATGACCGTGAACCACAAGTGGCTTCTTGTTGTCTGACAGTTATACTTATATATCCCTTTTCCATTTTAGATTTCCATCTAAATCTCTTAGGGCGTTCTTCTGCACCACATTGTTGCTTTTAGAAATTCTAACACCTCCTCCCTAACCCTCACTTTTAGCCAAAGACCTAACACCCTAATTTCCTGTCCAGAATGCAGCAATTGGTTGAGAATGTCCATAAACTCCTACCGCCATTAAGCTCCTAAAGCTTCTGTCCCTACAGACACCACATGTTATCATAGGTGAAGTAGCCCCAGTCCTCTCAAAATCTGGCACCTTTTCTTATACATTGGACCCATTAACACCTCACACTGTATAATACCAGGAAAGGCAGTTCTTTCTACCATTGATTCTAACTCCATTGTTTCCCATCCCTCCCACCCTGGTCCAATCTACCCATCATTCCTCATTATTGTATAGTCTTTTCATTGGTCTCCTTACTTCCACCTACCCTATAATCTCTGCTTAGAGAGCAGCCAGAATGACATCTTCAAAATGTTATCAAAGCAAAAGTCTTCTCTATTTACTACCTTGTAATGGTTCATCTCTTCACTAGAGTAAAGCCTAAGTCTTTACAATGACCTATAAAACCCTATGCAACCCAGACTCATTTCCTATTAATCTTTCCCTTGTTCTTTTTGCTCTAGCAAGGGACAGCCTTATGATTTCTTGAAATTACCAGACAGGCCATACAACCTTTATATTAGCTACCTTAAGTAAAATGCTTTTCCTCCATATAGCTCTATGGCTTATCCACTGTTATAGCCTGAGTTCAATCCCTGGCTTGAGATTGACCCTGGCCAGGGAGCTAACCCATGCATGGCACAGGAGATCTCTCCTTTCTCTCCTATTGCTCCTTTCAGCAGTGTATTTCAGTGAATTTGCCTGTTCTGCTCCCCACTCTGTCTCTGCTGAATCTTCTCAACCTCTAGACCTCTTGCCTATACCCCAATTCTTCTATGCCAATAAATAAATAAAGTAAAATAACTGTATCTCTGAACAAAGTTAAAAAAAATTACAGGACTACAAAACCATTCAGAACCCAACAAGTTAAAATTTTAAATGTCTGGTACACAATCAAAGATTATCAGGCACATAAAGAATTGAAATAAAACAATCCATAATGAAGAGACAAATCAAACAACTGAACTCAATTTAAACCTGACACAGATAGTAGAAAGAACAGATAAGGGAATTAAAATAATTATCATAGTATTATCCAATATAACTTCAAGAGCAGAGCAGTAAAGACATAAAGTTATTGTTAAAGTCCCAAATTGAACTTCTAAAGTGAAAACTATAATGTCTGAGAGGAAAATACATCAGATGGGAACAATAAACAGATCAGACATTGCAGAAGAAAAAATTTCATGAACTTGAAAGCAAAGCAATAGAAATTTATCCAAAATGAAATACAGGGAAAAAATTGAAATACTTATAAAGATTAATAGCAATGAGGTCTGGGGAGAATTTACACCAATATACATATAATTTGAATCTACAAAGGATATTTGAGAGACAGAAAGATATTTGAAGAAATAATGGTTAACCTTTTTCTAAATTTAATGAACATTACAAACCCACAAACCAAGAAATGTCAATAAACTGCAAGCTCATGAAATAGTAAGTACAAGAAATTTTCCGAAAGCAGTGATGTGAAAAAAAAGAGAAAATCTGAAAAGCACTCAGAAAATCAGGGCACAGTATACATAAGCAAATATGTAAAAAATGGCAGTATATCTGCAAGTTGGAAGACAATGGGGAGACATTTTAAAGTAGTGAACGAAATAAGAGTGCTAACCTAAGATTGGATAGTCAGTTAAAATATATTTAATAAGAGAAAAATGAAATAGTTGTTTTCAGGCATGCAAAAGTAGAAAGATATACATATATATAAAAAA